GGGGGGGTCTATAATATCTGTGAACGTTGGTTTTGTGCAAACAATGGCAAAAAGGAACAATCTTAAAATATTTTCTTTTCGGGTTTGAATGTATTGTGATGCAGTACTGCATTGTGGCCACTAGATGGAGCGGAGTAGCCTAGGGAAAAGGTATTCATTTTCTGTGCTCTTCGTTGCCATCTCATGGTCATAATGCGGCATTACATCACAATGCATTTGACCTGAAGAGGAAATATATTAGGAATGTTTGTTTTTGCCATAGTCACACAAAACGAACGTTCACAGACATTTGCAGGGCGACTAACCTTGCACATTGTTTATAAATAGATCCCGGAGTTTCAAGATATATCTGTGGTTATCAAACAATAGGAATTTTACAACTTTGCATGAAAGGGGACTTTCTATAAATTTGCAGATTTATCTTAAACGGCCTTGACTGACAATCTGCTCATGTATAGGCGCCACTGTGTCTACGGCTTCAAATTGCTTATGGTGTCCTACTTGCATTTAAGAATGCCGCTACAGTTCTGCAGTCTTATAGCAAAATGTCCAGTTGGTAGGTGCTTGGGTGGACTTCTTTGGCCACCTCTGTGGCTTCTTTTATCATGAGGCAATACCCCTCCCTGTGCAATCCATCTGGTTTGTTGGTTTCAGTGGAAGACACCATGATATGGTTAGGTGCTTTAATTCCCATGTGCCCAAATAACTCCTCCCCCCAAGCTACTGTTTAACAGGGGTGTCAGACTCAATTTAATCGTGGGCCGCATCAACATTATGGTTGCCCTCAAAGGTATCTGTAAGGCTATATAAATGTATCTAATCTTTATCATAATTGCCTCTGCATTCGATCATCACTGGTTTTAGTAATAACCTAATACCTAGATCTGAAAGTAGAAGTGTGGGAAATGGCCTGGTGGGCCGGATTCGGCCCCTGGGCCTTGAGTTTGACGCACGTGCTCTACGCTGTGCTAAGGTGAGGTCATTCCTTCCCCACCTCCCATGGCAGGAGCCCTTGGTCTTGTGAGCTCCTCGCTTTCCATTTCTACCATGGAGAAGGGTTGTGACATGGTGTCCTTCCTCACCGGCCCCATGGCAACTAGTCTTCTAAAATGAGGCTTGGATTCATCCAGTAGGATTTAGTAGGGATGTCGGCGATGGGCGACTCCCAACATTGAGGAAGTGGACTGCCAGAGTTCAACCAAGATGGTACCAGCTTCGGGTGGCCAGAGGAGTAGCATAGCCAGGTAGGTGGTGAGCCAACTCATTGTAGCAAACTTTAACAGTCCTGACTTGTAATGGGGAACTTTGAGCTTTATGAGTAGTAGAGTGTTGAGTTTAGTTCCACTTTAATGACCTCTGGTCTGAATCGTGTAGTGTTTTTGTCAGATACGGACTGAAAGTGCCCGCGTGACCTCAACGAAGGCTTATTGACCAGCCAAGAAAACACTTTTGTGCCTATGGGCTTTCTTCAGACCCAACAGTTATCTTTTGTAGATATCACAATGTCCCCACTGAAACCAACAGAATGGGCTCGGCAAACTGCAGCTCAGCGATGGCCGCACAGAAAATAATGTCAACGCTTTGAAGTGTATGTAAAACCAAAATCTCTTTTTTTTTTCGGTATGTTTGGCGTCATGTCTCCCTGCATGCAGTTTTCTAAAGTAACTCGAAATTCCTAACCTGGAGATTCCCGTTGCCTCACAAATTGAAGCAACGTTGTGTTTCCTACCACAGGAGCCCTTCCAGTTGGGCTGCCAATCAAGTCTATTGGATGGGCGGCCCAATGGCCAACTCAATGGAGTGCATACAGCAGGCTGGCCATGCTGCTGCCAGATGCAAGTCAGTGGTTTAGTATTATTCCCCTCCAAAAAACATTTGGAAAACTGTACACGGCATGCTGCCAAACATACTAAAAACAGAGTTTGGGTTTACAAACATTTTAAATTCAGTCCTCAGACCTGTTTTACGATGTTCTACCACGATCAACAGGAAGTCACAGTAAAAGGTAAGGAAAAGAGTTTTTATAGTAGAGATGATGTTGCCAGTGGATTAGTTGTCTTATATAAGATCTGTAGTTCCATCGCATCCATGAAGCAATGACTTGCCTAGACCTGGCCACGTTTGCTGAACTTTATTGCTGATCATAGAAGGGGAAGCCCCCATATTGCTGATCATAGAAAGGGAAGCCCCCTTATTGCTGATCATAGACAGGGAAGCCCCCTTATTGCTGATCATAGAAAAGGAAGCCCCCTTATTGCTGATCATAGAAAGGGAAGCCCTCTTATTGCTGATCATAGAAAGAGAAGCCCCCTTATTGCTGATTATAGAAAGAGAAGCCCCCTTATTGCTGATCATAGAAAGAGAAGCCCCCATATTGCTGATCATAGAAGGGGAAGCCCCCATATTGCTGATCATAGAAGGGAAAGCCCCCATATTGCTGATCATAGAAAGAGAAGCCCCCTTATTGCTGATCATAGAAGGGGAAGCCCCCATATTGCTGATCATAGAAGGGGAAGCCCCCATATTGCTAATCATAGAAAGGGAAGCCCCCATATTGCTGATCATAGAAGGGGAAGCCCCCATATTGCTAATCATAGAAAGGGAAGCCCCATTATTGCTGATCATAGAAGGGGAAGCCCCCATATTTGTATTATTTGAAAGCGGAAGTAAACTCTACATGGAAACTTTCCCCATATCAAAGTACAGCATACAGTGCCTTGCAGAAGTATTCACCCCCTTGGTGTTTTACTGCATTAGAACCTGAAACTAAAATAGATTTGGGGGGGTTGTACCATGTGATGTATATACAATGTGTCTACTATTTTGTAGGCGCAACATAATTTTTATATTTACATTGAAGGAGATCACACAGGGACTCGTGCACATGCAGAATCACATGCATACACGCAATAGGTTGAACCTGATGGACCGATGTCTTTATTCAACCTCCAATACTATGTAACATATTTAAGCATGCTCGATTTCTTTTTTTTTTGTCTTGTTTGTGTGATGCAATTAAAAAATGCTTTTGCACCTACAAAGTAGTAGGCATGTTGTATACATCACATGATACAAACCCCCTTAAAAATCCATTTCAGTTACAGGAAAAACACCTGTGGGGGGGGGGGTCCAAGCACTCATCCATTGCAGCAAAGTCCACCAAAGCATTCCCCATTCTAAATTATGTTTTTGGCAGGTTACTTATTCCTGCACACGGCCGGTGATGCCTTCATTCTCAGCATTTTGCCTTTGCCAGAATCTGTAGAGCGCTTTGCCGGTTTGACATCCCTTCTATGCCATAGGCTCTCACAATGCTTCCCCTTCCAGCAATCCCCACTCTCTTCTGCCCATGCATGGGATATATTGCTGGCGTCCATGGTGGGCAGAAGGAGGGAGTAGGGTTTGGAAGACATCAAAGAGGGCATCGGCTTCAGTGGGATTGAAGGTAGTGCACACAGCCAGTGATTCCTTCATTCTCGGCATCTTTGCCTTGCCGGAATCTGCATAGCGCCTTGCCGGGTTGACGTCCCTTCTAACTCCGCCATGGGCACTCGCAATGCTTCTCCTTCCAGCCATCCCCACCTTCTTCTGCCCATGCACGGAAATGTATTGCTGGTGTCAATGGTGGGCAGAAGAAGAGATGGATGAAGTAGGGGTCGGGAGACATCAAAGAGGGCATCAGCTTCAGCGGGATTGAAGGTAGTGCACACAGCCAGCGATTCCTTCATTCTCGGCATCTTTGCCTTGCCGGAATCTGCATAGCACCTTGCCGGGTTGACGTCCCTTCTAACTCCGCCATTGGTGCACTCACAATGCTTCTCCTTCCAGCCATCCCCACCTTCTTCTGCCCATGCACGGAAATGTATTGCTGGCGTCGGTGGTGGGCAGAAGAAGAGATGGGGGAAGTAGGGGATTGGATGATATCAGAGGGCATCGGCTTCAGCGGGATTGAAGGTAGTGCACACAGCCAGTGATACCTTCATTGAAGGTAATGCGGCCACCAGTATTGGACAGGAAGCAGAGTTGCACATTTGCTATAGTCACTGTGTCTAAAACCTTTTAGAATGGAATGTTTTGGTTCGGCCTTTGTGGTTTATGTGGCAGTGGATGGCGGAGTTTACTTCCACTTCAACCCCCTTGAGAACTGTACGGGGAAGTGGGGGGGGTTAAACAGAGGACAACAATTGGCGGTAATGTTGTTACCTACAGTATGAACTCCCATTCAGTCGATCCCACCACAGACAATCGTACGCCTAATGCCGTTCTGTCACCAAGCGTTCGTCCGCCGCCGCCGGGTATGAGGACGAGACTCTGTAACCGGGCAAAACACTTTGCACTATGTCTGCTCTTCACACTACTTTCCACACGCCGGTCACTCCCGTGTGCACACTGCTGGTTTAGGCGTCGCATCGCCCCGGATATTCCACATAGACTGTGTCGCACCTCTAGAATCTTCTACAAGTGGGAGACTTTTTTTATTTTTCTTTGTAGGATAAAGTTGGTTGATATTCACATTCGGCTTTTACATTTTATTATTATTAATACAAAATGTTTGGAAACAAAAAAAAGTATTTGAAAAGTTTGTGATTTTTATATTTTTTTGCATTTATTTCTATATTCTCGCGGTAGGTGTTGTTACGCGACGCCAACTGGCGGGTGTTTTGTTGACCCGATCAAATGAATGTGTTTTGTTGGTTTGGTTTTCTTATAGTGTATGTTGGGGGGGGAGGGGGGGGGAATGAAAAGCATCTCTGTAATACTCACACATTCCCCGTTTTTTGTCTCTTGTTGTAAATACGGAATATCTTCTGTTTGGTGCCACAAATCCAGTGAGCTCCTAACTTCCTCCGTAGGAAGTCCCAAGCAGTGTTCTCAGTCCGGCCCATTTATGCTTCTCCTGGACAACAGAACACCTCCTACTTCTCCTGGTGTCCTTAACATGAGGTGGACGGGGGTTTCTGTAGTCCACCGGGGGGAGAACGGAGCAGGATTGTCAAAACTGCTTGGGATTCAACTCCATAGAGTCAAGACATGTAGAAAGATCGCTCCAAGCCTGCATGGAAGTTCCCCACTTCTGGATCTCTGGGTGCCGACCAAGGAGAGCCCAACCATGCTCTATGAATGCTTTGGGAAAGGAGAAAGTCCGTCACTGATGATGTCAGATCACATCCAACTTTATTGAATCCACACATAACAATCTGCACTCCTGCCCAGGACTGCATGAAAATTCCCCACTTTTAGAACTCTGGGTGCCGACCAATGGGAGCCCAACCATGCTCCATGAATGCTCTAGGAAAGAAAGTCGCTCACTGATGATGTCATATCACATCCAACTTTATTGAACCCACACATAGCACTCTGCACTCCTGCCTAGGACCACTCCTTGAGAGGGATGGCCCTAGGCTGGGGCTGCAGTGCGCTTGTTCCAGGTTCAATAAAGGTAGCTGTGATCTGACATCATTGGTGTGCCGCTTCCTTCTTTCCTACTGAGTTCATGGAGCATGGTCGGGGTCCTTTTGGTCGGCACCCAAAGTCTTGGAAGTGGCAGGGGGGCTCATGCAGGTTTGGCGCGGCAGGGACATCCCCATAATGTAGGGACGGCCCTGTGGAGCGGTGACACCTTTCTACATGTCTATTGTGAGCTCATAACTTCCTTTTTGAGCTGACCACTCTGCCTCTGCTGCAAATAATCCCAAGCAGTGTTGTTAGGAGAGGAAGAGGTGTTCTGTTGTCCAGGAGAAGCAAGTGGGCCGGGCTGACAACACTGCTTAGGATTTCATTGCAGCAGAGGCAGAGTTGTCAACTCACTACAGAAAGTTAAGAGCTCACTGGACTTGTGGCGGCAGATCAACAGGTATTTCTCAGTAGTTGCAGTATCTTATGACAGACAGAGCATGGGCAGTTATGTGTATCGCAGAGATGTTTATACAATATTTTTCTTTGTCCAGACCCCATCTTAGGGGTTAGATGGTGAACAGATCAGTGAGTGAGATCGCAATGCATTATGGCCACTAGATGGACGTGAGGAGCACGGGAAGTTTCTATACTCTTCGGCTCCATCTAGTGGCCATACTGTGCTGCGCTTATCTTCGCAGAGCTCTTCGCTGTGTGAACTGTTCATAAATCATGACACGTTTCCTGACTGACATGTTCCTTCCGGTCCGAAGACTTGGAAAGAAAGGACTGAGATTAAAAAATATATTTAAAGGGTTATTCACAAAGCTGTCCTAGGCAGCCGAGTGAATAACCCACCCGAAGTGAAGTGAGCCGAACGCTTAAGGCCGTGACACACTGCACGCGAAGCAGCGCGGAGCGGTGGCGCGCTGTCTTTGCGAGCAGTGTGTCATGTCACTTTCTGCTCGGCACCTCAGCTTGCGAGAGCTCGCAGAGCTGAGCG